CTGACCTTTGCGTAGTTCGTTATTGGGTTGGACGGTGCTTGAATGAAAGATCGCCAACATGCTAACAGGTTAATGAGATGGATGAATGAAAGCAATAACAAATACAAAAATCAATAATATTAATAATAATAATAATATAATAATAACAACTACAACTACAACAACATCAACATCAACAACAACTACAGCAACATCAACAACAAGAACAGCAACATCAACAACAACATCAACCACAACAACAACTACAGCAACATCAACAACAAGAACAGCAACATCAACAACAACATCAACCACAACAACATCAACAACAACCACAACAACAACAACCGCTACAACAGCAACAACAACAACATCAACGCAAGCATTATTGCATGGACTGTCTTCTGGTTGTTGTAGTAGTTGTATTTTTTTTTGAGGTAGTTGTGTTGTTCAGTTGTGTGGTAAGTGTAGTAGTTATTATGTTGATAATGAAATGTCTGAAAAACAGGATCCAGTTGAGTCCAGTTGTTGTCAGCTGTTGCTGTTGTTGTTGATGATGTGAGAGTGAAAATGAAGTAAAACGAACGGACTTTCTATCAAAAAGTTAAAAATTATCTTTGACAATTGTTTGGATGTCGTTGACAATGATGCTGATGATGAAGATGATGATGATGATGAAGGTGACGATGATGGTGATGATGATGAGATAATGGTGAAGAAGAAGATGATGGTGATGATGATGACATTATTGATTTTGTCAATGAGGTTCTAATCTAACTAATAAAGATGTCTGTGTTTGCGTTCGTGTGCGTGCGTGGCTGCGTGTGCGTGTGTGGTGTGTTATTATTATTATTATTATAATTATTATTATTATTATTATTATTATTATTATTAGATGGACCGATTTTAATTCTAACCACATGATGGAATTTCAATGGAGCATTTTATATGTTGGTTTCATGGGCTTCCACTAAAGTTATGATCACTCTCATTGCTTTTTTCCGCCCCTGTGTGTTTGTCTGTGTACGTGTGTGTTTGTGTGTGTGTGCAATGTATGTATATGTATATGTAACGTTGTGTGTGTGTGTGTGTTTATATGTGTACTTGTTTATTTGTGTGCATATTTATAGATGATCTTTTTTTTCCTCAAACTTTAATGGAAAAGAAACGAATGATTATCAACTAAAACCTACCGAATTAAACAATTAAAATTGAAAATTAAAAACTTTTTTAAATTAATTTTTTATTGTTTGTCATTGTTAAATTATTATTTTCACTTTGTTTTCATTAATTCCAACCTTTGAACACACCAAACATCTTTGCACATCCTTTTATTTTCCCGCCAAAAGCATCAAAAAATCTTCAATTGAGTTCACTATTCGTTCGAAAAATTATTTCATAGATTATTTTAAAAATGTTTTTATAGGGAATTTACTTTTTAAATTGAATCCATTTTGTCCATTTTAAACAGTTATAATTACATTTACTCGCGTGAAATATTTTGTTAGGAATTATTTGTATTCAAGGGTTATAAGGTTATAAATAATATACATGTTTGTTTGTTCGTGTCCATGAATTTCGTTAACTTACTAGCATGACGTAGATGTGAACTTTAGTTAAATTTTTCGAGTTTGATATTTTATTTGTATTCAAGGGTTATAAGGTTATAAATAATATACATGTTTGTTTGTTCGTGTCCATGAATTTCGTTAACTTACTAGCATGACGTAGATGTGAACTTTAGTTAAATTTTTCGAGTTTGATATTTTATTTGTATTCAAGGGTTATAAGGTTATAAATAATATACATGTTTGTTTGTTCGTGTCCATGAATTTCGTTAACTTACTAGCATGACGTAGATGTGAACTTTAGTTAAATTTTTCGAGTTTGATATTTTATTTGTATTCAAGGGTTATAAGGTTATAAATAATATACATGTTTGTTTGTTCGTGTCCATGAATTTCGTTAACTTACTAGCATGACGTAGATGTGAACTTTAGTTAAATTTTTCGAGTTTGATATTTTATTTGTATTCAAGGGTTATAAGGTTATAAATAATATACATGTTTGTTTGTTTGTGTCCATGAATTTCGTTAACTTACTAGCATGACGTAGATGTGAACTTTAGTTAAATTTTTCGAGTTTGATATTTTTGCCAAAGTGGGAATCTCTTGGAGGTCAAATAATTATTTTGTTATGTTATTAAACTGTAAAAAATCACCACATAAACTTCTTTAACATTCAACTTGAACGAAACATCGCATTCTTAGCATACACAACAAATTGCAATAAACACATATTTGTCATTTCATTTCAATCCTGTTGAAATAACACATCACTGCACAGCTGTACATGTGACATTCAAACCGAAGGGACCACTGATCATACGAAACGAAACGAAACAAAATTTTATTTGTTTCTCAAAATTGAATACGACTTATTATTATTACTTCAATAAAGTATTACACTTCAAAACTTCAGAACGAAAGTACGTTTTGTAAGCCATCAGTGAGATTTTACACCGCTGGGATTGATTCATAGAAATTTTAAACACCTCACTAACATTCTTTTATGTTTGTAATACAAGACAATAGTCGCAAGTGCTGTATAAACAACTCTAATAATAATAATAATAATAATACATACATACATACATACATACATACATACATACATACATACATACATACATACATACATACAGACAGACGTCAGTAGCAGTTCTACAATTAATCCAGAATCGTGCGGCTAAACTAGTGGTAGTTGGGCTGTGGTTCGATCACGTCACGCCGATTTTGAATAATCTCCACTGGTTGACAATCAACAAGAGGATAATCTTCAACATAGCGGTCATAGTTTTCAAATCGTTAAATGGCCTGGCTCCGGAATATTTGTCCAGCAGATTTGTCAGGAAAACAACCACATCGAATTTCAGATTCAGATCAGACAATATGAACCTCTTGATGGTACCAGTTAATCGTTTGCAAATAGGATTGCGTGACATTGCTGTTGCTGGCTGGCCCGATGGTTTGGAACGCTCTGCCGGAGTTGCTAAGAAGACCTAGAAATTCCTTGAACAATTTTAAAAAAGAATTGAAAACGCATTTATTTTCTTTAGTTTAACTTTTAGTATTCTTCTTTAATCGTTCACTCGTATACTGTTTTATTTATGTGAGTGCTTTTGAGATTTTTTTTTATTTAATTAGCGCTATATAAATGAACATTAATATTAAAAAATAATAATAATACAACATACATACATACGTACATACATACATGGTTTTAACATACATATACATACATACGTATGTACACACACACAGAGACAGACATTTATAAATGCACGCACACAGTCACACACACACACTCATACAATTTTTTCACACGTTCATCGTTGGAAACATTAGGTGACCATGTGATTTTTTTCTCAAGCTTTTAATTGAGGATGTTCGTTACGTGATGTTTTAGAGCTAAAATGTATGTGTATGTATGTATGTGTGTGTGTGTGTGTGTGTGTGTGTGTGTGTGTGTGTGTGTGTGTGTGTATGTATGTATGTGTGTATATATGTATGTATATATGTATGTACGTATATTTTTGATGAGATTTACAGGCTCTTGAGGGAGCAATGATTCAACGAGTATTTGTTTTTTGTTGGATCGATAGGATGCAGAGAGTCTCCATCCATTCAACAACTTCTTCAGCACAAACATGCGAGATGTATAAACATTTCATTCATTTTTTTGTTTGTTCGTTTGTTCATTCATTTCTTCTGTCATTAATAGTTTTATTCATTCATTCATTCATCTATTCAATCATTCGTTCATCCATTCATTCATACTTTCATTCATTCATTTGTTTATCTTATTAGCCATTTATCTACTTCTCCGTTCAATCATTTATTTTTTTTTATTTATTCATTCAATCATTTCTTTTTTCGTTCATTTGTTCATTCGCTCAATCGATCGTACGCGCCTCCCAACAACATGCAATACAAGAGGACGCTAAATAAAAAGCTTCAGTCGAACGGCGAATCAATTTTAATTCCTCTTTTTCAAATTGCAAGTGCTTAAAATTGTTTAAAAATGTAACTAATAGAAAAACAAATGAATGAACGAAAACAGCAAGTAACAATTAAATAAGTGAATGAATGAATGCGAAAAGGAACGAATAAACGAATGAATGAATGAATGAATGAATGAATGAATGAATGAATGAATGAATGAATGAATGAATGAATGAATGAATGAATGAATGAATGAATGAATGAATGAATGAATGAATGAATGAATGAATGAATGAATGAATGAATGAATGAATGAATGAATGAATGAATGAATGAATGAATGAATGAATGAATGAATGAATGAATGAATGAATGAATGAATGAATGAATGAATGAATGAATGAATGAATGAATGAATGAATGAATGAATGAATGAATGAATGAATGAATGAATGAATGAATGAATGAATGAATGAATGAATGAATGAATGAATGAATGAATGAATGAATGAATGAATGAATGAATGAATGAATGAATGAATGAATGAATGAATGAATGAATGAATGAATGAATGAATGAATGAATGAATGAATGAATGAATGAATGAATGAATGAATGAATGAATGAATGAATGAATGAATGAATGAATGAATGAATGAATGAATGAATGAATGAATGAATGAATGAATGAATGAATGAATGAATGAATGAATGAATGAATGAATGAATGAATGAATGAATGAATGAATGGATATAAATAATTGTTGTTTGCTTAGCTCGCTTGTTCGCCCCGATGAAATGTTGAAGGGATTTAGGTTTTGAAAAATTTTTTAAAAATTACAAACAACGTAAAACTTGCTTTGGATGCAGGTGAATTTTGTTTTCGTTACTGCTTTCGTTGTTCATGATCTCAATCAGCTCGTTTGCCGCCATTCATTCTCGTGAATGTTGTGTCCCATTATTGGTTGCGAAAAGTTTGTTGAAATGTTTGTATATTTGTCACCTGTAGGATGAATTGGAGATGTTGTTATACAAAGAAGTCGTCCGACGACGTTCCTGTGAAACAGTTCTGAGCACTGCAACAACTTTCTACAACTTTCTTCAATCAAAACCAAGCAACTTCCGCACCCTCTCACAGCAACATGTCGCCTCATTTCCGACCACAACAGCCACACAACCGATCGGAAGTTAGACTTAAAAACGTGAACACGATTCGTCAGGAAAGCAAAGAGGCCAGCCAATGGCAGATGAACCTTAAACGACCCACTAACCAACCATCTGCAATCTTCAGGTCAGCCAACCAATTAAATTACTCATTATCTGTTTATCCGTCCAGTAAAAGCAACGCAAGCGGTGGAATATTTTTGCGCCGAAGTTCACTTTTGTCAAATTCGGAATCGTTCAACATCAACAGCATGAACAATAACATTCCACTATACGAGAAACTGAAGATGCCCGCCTCGCTCGCCATCATCATCATCGCCGCCATTTTCTTTTCAATCACCGTCACAACGACTGCTCTATTAGGTCTTGTTTGCCGGAAGCGGAAGCGAAGAATCAACAAAAGATCGATAATCGTTTCCGCGGACAAAAAGTCCACTAACGATGTTAATGACGCCGATGGCGACGAAGGAGATGTGGAGAATGAGGGAGAGGATGACAGGAATGGAGAAAGTGATTATGAATGCAACGTGCATTCCACGTCATCGTCATCATCATCATCATCATCATCATCATCTACATCGTCGTCGTTATCATCGTCTCCTTCGTTTGACTGGCTGTACAGGCACAATCTCCAACGCGACGACGAATGTTGCCACAGCAACGATCAGTCGTGGATGGCGGGGCAGGGTTGCCATGCCAACCACTTCCCGTGGAATTATGACGTCAGCAACTTCCACCTCATCAATCAGCTTTCAAACAACAACATTGAGGCAGTAGAAACTTTCCACAACAACATTAACACCAAAAACGACAATTACAACAGCAACATCATCAACAACTACAACTACACCGACGAAAATTTCGATGGCAATAATTACAACATCGATACAGACATCAACAGAGTTACTCAACAATCAAAATTTTCTTGTTTCAACAAATTGATGTTCACTTGTGCACACAACAACATCAATAACAACATTAACAACAACATTAACAACAACATTAAAAACAGCAACACGTTACCATTAACGCCGGCAATTGAAAACATAGCAGCCACAAAAACCATAAAAAATAGCAATTCATATCAAAAATTAAGAAATCATTACTTTAAGAAAATATTCAAGAGTTCCAAACGCTATGAAGTCTCAACAGGCTCTGAAAAAACGAACAACGACAGCATGAGCAATCTTCTCGATAATTCAAGCAAACAACAACACAACAACAACGACAGCAACAACCGTGAACAACTTTACAGAGCACTAAGTTATGATGGAGATGAAGTTGAACCCGAAGAAGTCAATTTCGAAGGTGAGGACAATGACAATAATGACGATGATGATGCAAAATATAGATGTGGTTACTGCTATAATGACAACAACAACACCAATAACAACAACAACATCCATAACAACAACAACATCCAAAACAACGACACGCGTAACAACATTGTGACAGTTCTTGACGATGACGACGACGAGAGTAACTCAAAAAGAAATGATGATGGAGAAGATGATGATGGTGGAGAGGATGAAGATGATGATGGAGAAGATGATGAACTGTCGTGGGATTCCGGTAGTTTCGATACCGTGGTCACGGTTGTGAGTTTACAGAAAAATGGAAAAACCAATCTGCCAAACAAAACTGAAATTGAAACTAAGAAAAATTACAAAAACACCAACAACAGCTGTTGTGCAATTTTTGACGATCACGTGGTACAAAATGGAGTCAGCAACAACGTTAACAATGATAATGGGAATGATGATAATTATGACGATAACGGCGATGATGATGATGGTGATTGTAAAACCAGAACCACAGATTGTGCCAATAAAGACGATGATAGCGAATACGATGTTCCTGATTATGATGACGATGGTAATGATGACAATGGTGATGATGACGATGGTAATGATAATGACGATGAAAAGATGCGTATACTAAACTAATGAATGCCAGTGCTTAAACTCTATGAACTGACAGTACCAACACTCACATCATCACAAGAAATCGTAATTATCATCATCATCGTTATAAGTGTTTATTCATTATTTTTTAATTAAATAATTAATTAATTTATTAATTAATCTACACCATCATCATCTTAATCACCATCATGATTTAATATCATAATCAATGTATATTATCATCATCATCCACCGTGGTATCATCATCATTATTGTTGCTATTAGAATCATCATAAAATAATAATAAACATCATCACCAGCATTCTTTTCATATCATTGCTATCATCATCATTATCAGTTAAATAATTAGCATCATTAATAGTCAGTCATCATCATCATCATCGTCATCAAGAACACAACACTGCAAAGAATATGCATTTTTCACTTTTCTACTCATTTGTTATCATCGTTGGGTAGTTGCTTATCAGCGTTTAATTAATTAACAAATTGGATATAATTAAATTAGAAATCCTGATTAATTAATTCGTTTAATAATGAATTAATTAACTACAATGAATATAAGTAAATTAGAAATCATAATCAATTAATTACAATGATTACAATTTAATTGATTTATTTAATCAATTAATTAATCAATGAACTTCAGGACCTGAAATTAAATCAAAAATCAGAATTAATTAAAATAAGTACAATTTAATAATTCATTTAAGTAATTAATTAATTAATTAATTAACCAATTGTAACTTATACGTTCTCGTTAATAGATTGAAACCTATAGTTAATAATATTCCTACCAAACCAAATCATGATGAATTAAAATTAAATATTCATTTGCAACTATAAATTGGAAAATATTGCAAAAAATGAAAATCAACAAAAAGAAATGGCGGGAAAACTCAGAAATGGCGGGCAAACTTTAATCTAAAATATATATATATATTATTGGTGTGTGTGTTTGTAAGCGCCCTTTGGAAAAAGATCCCAGAGACGATTAATGCAGTACAATGCGTAGCACTTCACTAAAGCAATGCAGAAAATGAGAATGAGCAATGAGAAAAAGACATTAGCCCGAGTGAGCTTGGACAAAAAGATAGTGTTTCAACCTTTTACGGGATTAAATAACAGACAACGCAGGATCAGAAGGTTCCTAGGCAAACCATTATAAACAGCAGGACCCATTACGGAGAAATTCTTTCGACCAAAAGCCAAGTTTTTGTCAGGTACAAACAATAAACCTGAATCGTCAAAACGCAATGTTTGACTCAGCAAAGGCATTGTTCTAGAAATGACTCTGTCAGTTAAATACTTAGAGGCAACTCCCTTAATACTCCCTTAATTTAAAAACCGTTAAACATATCTTGAAAATAACTCTTTAATAAACCGGAAGCCAGTGAAGAGCAAAAATGATCTGATGCATTTAAGGCCACCTGAAACCAACCTTGCCGCTCAATTTAGAACCGACTGCAGTCTAGACAGTCTGACCGGCCGTAATAAAGACTCTTGCAATAAACTATTTTTGAGTGGATAAAGGACATTGAAGAGTATGTTTGCTTAAAAATCGTTTGATGAGCCTAAGCTTACGCAATTATCCAGAGCATTTTTTCAAAACTGCCTTAGTCTGAACGTTAAAAAACATGTTATTATGCAAAACAAATCACAGATTGCGTGCAAATGTTCAAAACTCAATGTCTGATAGACTTTCATTTTTTCCAATTCCAATCCAAATTAAAACAAACATCCAATTAAGCCGTCTCTGTCGAATGGAACTGACGATAACCAGATTGGTAAACCGGAAAAAGTGTTTAAGTGACAAGTTGCTAAAAGACTATGCGTTCAACAACTTTAGACAAAAACACAAGATTCGACACAGGCCGATAACTTGAAAGCTCATTTTTGTTCAGTGTACTTTTTTCAGAGTAGGGCTTACCACGGCGTTTTTTAACGCTAATGGAAAAGGCACGGGTTGATAAAAAAGGTGAAAATGGCAGGCAAGAACAGGTCAATGAACTTCTTAATAATCTGTGCAGGTAAACAGTCAAGGGAACATGATTTAACAGGTGCGTCGGGTATAACTTTCTTAATACAATCACTGGAACAAGTTGAAAAGCTAGAAAATGATAAAATTTCATGCAAATGGCAAAGAGTAAGTAAGATATATAAATATATATATATATATATATATAAATATATATATATATATATATATATATATATATATAATTAGATTATTTATATATAAAGCGCCCTTTATTGTTCTCAAAGGAGCTAACAATGTAAAAGTTGATTAAATGCGCTAATGCAAAAGTTGATTAAATGTTTCACTTCAATCAAATCATATCATGAAAAGTTTGTCTGAAAAGATGGTTCTTTAGCTTTCTTTGAAATTCAGTAATTGACAACCCACGATTTCGCAAGTCAACCGGCAAACTGTTCCAAATCTTCGGTCCCATAACAGCGAAATCTCTGCAACCAACAGCTGAGTTTGTCGAATTGTTAACAAATCTAAATCGTCTGACCGTAACTTCTGACACTGTAACGGTGCATTTCTTGGAACAATTCGATCCATTAAATATTTTGGCGCTAATCCATAAATGCTTTTATATACCAGTAGGGCAATTTTAAAGACAATTCTTTGTTGAACGGGCAACCAATGAAGATTGAAGAGAATAGGAGTAACATGATCAAAATATGAACCACCAGTTAACAACTTGGCAGCCCGATTTTGAATTAATTGTAAATGTGCAACATACTTTTTGGGTAAACCGTAGAATAAACTGTTGCAATAATCGATCCTCGAGTGAATGAACGAGTGAATTAAACATTGCAATGTATGCATATATATATATATATATATATAAATACATACATATATATATATATATATATATAGAGAGAGAGAGAGAGAGATAGATAGAGAGATAGAGAGAGAGTTAACATTATAATATCATTACCATCACCAGCATCAATTTCGTCAACAACATCATTTCCTATCATAATACTATTTCTATAACTATTATCTTCCGAATTTTCATCATTACCAAAAGATACATAGTCATCATTATCCTCGTCGTCATCATCATTACCATCAACATTGCAATCAAGGCTATCATCATCATCATCGTCGTCGTCATCATTAAACTTCAAAAAGACATTATTAAACACTGAACGATCGTTAAATTTTCATAGCAACGTCAATGGCCAGATGAAAATCTTTCTCATCATCAACGCTTCCATCATCATCATCTTCATCCTTATCTTCATTATCATTACCAATATCACCATTATAATTATTGTCATCTTTTCCATCTTCATCGTTATAATGATAACATCCGAAAATGAAACCACCCAATCACTATCATCACCTTTTCTTTCATCACCATAAACATCATTTCTATCGCTATCATCATCTTATTCTTCAACATCATCTTCTTCATCATTCTTTTTCATCACCATAAACATCATTGCTATCACTATCATTATCTTGTTCCTCAACACCATCTTCTTCATCATCACCACACCGTCTCCACTACACCAAGCCCCCTCTTAATTTTGTGAGGGATTTCCTTCTTCACCATGCTGATGCAGTCGATGATCGGACACACGGACAGACACAATGTACATCCTGATAATGATGATGACGGTGGTGGTGGTGGTGATAATGATGATGATGGTGATGGTGGTGGTGATGAAGATAGTGGTTGTGATGATGGTGATAATTTGAATTTGTTGGTTTTTGTGTCTCCTCCTGAAAATTTTCATGAGTTTTCAAAAGGATCGCTGGTTGCTTTGAAGGCATAATTTAGTAAAACTTAAAATTTGACTGGCCAAATTTTGAAACTTTGTATAACGGCTAGGGAATGCCATGTAGAGTTTAACACAAAATACAAAGGCAAAAAAACACGAATTCAACTAAAGATTTTTATTCGAGTGTATGTACAACAAGATTGCCGCGACCTGTGGTGCGATCTCTGGTGCGATCTATGGTGCAGAGGAGGGCGCATTGCTCTCGGGCAGCCAAATTTAGAATCAATTGTTTGTTAGTATTTTTGCGAAAGTTAACCAACTAAATTTTCAGAGTTCTTTTTCTGATTTGATTTTCTAAAATGTTTCACAAAATTTTCACTTATTTTTCTATGCAGCCACTAATGATAACTGCCACTACTGCTGCTGCTACCACTACTTCTACTACTACTACTATTCCTACTATTACTACTACCACTACAACTATTACAATCACAACTGCTACTAATACTAATACTATTACTACTACTGTTATTACACCTACTAATACTACTACTACTACTACTATTACTGTTGCTGCTACTAAAAATTAACAAATAATTTTATTTATTATTAGTTAATACAAATTATAAAAATAATAGCCCCGCCCACCTGTACAATCATCGGTCACGTGGGGCAGGTGTGTGAGGGGGTCGAACTTGATGGCCTGGTAACCAGAGTCGTTGCAGGTCATGTAACACTTGCCACAGTTGATACACATCTCCTGTGTGTGTGTGTGTGTGTGTGGTGTGTGTGTGTGTGTGTGCGTGTGTGTGTGTGACAGTCTGGTTGAAAACAGGGTGTGGAAGACATGAAGCACTTACTTCCACAGAGCCGAAGACAGACAGCGTTGGAAAATTGACACGCAGAAAACAATAAATTAGAAATGTGATTTCACTTAACGTGTAGATTAAATAACTCAATTGCATGGTAAATAAAACATTAAATATAATAATAAAATAAAACAACAAAATAATAAAATATAATAATAATAATAAAAAGCATGCTGACATCATTGACGACGGCCACTACTTGCAGTTTGTTGTCCAGGACATTGTAGGATCCAATCTTCGGGAGGGCAGCCCCCAGAACGTCCTGTGTGGTCGGCCATAGGGGGGAAGGTGTTGTTAGATTATTTTCGCGACGTAATTTCATAAAAATTCAACATTTCACTGTAAGTAATTCTAGTGAGTGAAATCTGGTGCTCTACAGTAAATTTAATTAAAATAACGTTTAAACTTTTAAAAATTTATACTTGTACTACGACTGCTGCTGCTGCTACTACTACTGCTACTACTGCTGCTGCTGCTGCTACTACTACTACTACTACTACTGCTAATTGTAAAGATAATGATGATTGTGATTATGATATTAAAAAATAATAAAATCTACAATAAAGATTTTTTGGTTTCATTTAAAAACAAGCCAAATAAAAGTATACGTAATACAATGCCAACCTTAATGCGAGGAACTGGTCTGACGAGATTGGCTGGAAGTCTCAGTGGGCGGGGCTCGTGTTCATCTGCCAACCTATCATCTTTGAGTTTTAATTGACCTACATGTTCTTCACGTCTTTTCTTATACTCACCAAAGTTTGGAGTCTGAATATGACCCAAAAACAAACATTAAAAAGACGGCCAACTATGAGTTCGTTTGTGCCAATGAAATGACCTCCGAACAATAAGAAACAATTTTTAATGGCAACATTTTTATTTAATCAAAGGATCAATCAACCTCAACAGACACCATTCCACCCATCTACACCACCACAATCGTAATTGCCACAATCATCATCATCACTATCATCATCGCTACAATCATTATCATGATCACCATCACCTTCTCCATGGCAACGACAGACTTTCCCTTCTGGTGGACGGGGGTTGGAGGACTCTGCCCCATCCAATCAGCCACATGACCCAGAGATTTCAAGTAGAGGAGAGCCTGCAGACCTGTGACGTAATCATCGACGACTGTGAAATCTTGGTTCTGTATGGCGCTACATACCTGAGTGGTGGTGGTGGTGGTGGTGGTGGTGGTGGTGGTGGTGGTGGTGGTGGTGGTGGTGGTGGTGGTAGTGGTGGAAGTAGTGGTGGTGCTGGTAATTATGGTAGGAAAAATAATTTAGTTATAATAATTTTTAAATCCAATCATGTAGTCAGGCAATGAAGGCATGTTGAGATGTAACAACGAATTTGAAGTGAATGGAATCGCGTGGAACCTGCAAGACGGAAGCCCCTGCGTGAATGAACTGCAGGCCAGCCTCCGCGGAATCGATGCCGCCAGTAGCCAGGATCGGAAATCCGGGCAGATCCCTGGCGATCGAGTTGACGGCACGTAACGCAATCGGTCGAATGGCATTTCCTGAGATTCCTCCGCTAGTGGTTCGCTTCTCGAGACCAACATTGGGCCAGGCTGTTGCGTCAGGCCGGATGTGCATGACCCCTGGTACAGTGTTCGTCACTGTTACCCCACTAGCCTGACCTGAGTGGGTGGGTGGGTTCGTGTGAGGTTGTGCCGGGTGGGTGGTGTTGGAACGGTGATGAATTGAAATGTTAATGGTAGTTAAATGATTTTTGTCAACAAACAATAAACTTTAAAAAGATTTTAATGGATGGTGCAAAATAAAATTCATCAAATAATAAATATGGAGTTTGTTATTTAATATTTTTAAAGTTTGGTAAAGTTGTAAATCCACTCTGAGTGAAAGATCTCTAAAAGTTTGTGAAAACTTACCAAAAGCCACGAATTCAATCATTTTCCAATCATATGATTACACAACAACTGTTACAACAGTGCAAAACATTCTGGACCACTGCACATGCACCTGACACCTCCTAGGTTAGATCAGGTTTTTAATTTAAAAACCCTTCAAAAACAGCCGCACACAAAACCGTGAATGGTATTTGAAACCAGAAAATAAAAAATAAATAATAATAAAAAATAGATTCAACAAAAGGTGAACTATTATTAGCAATCATTCCGAACGCGGAGGGCGCGCAGCCCGCAAATGATTGCGTACCTTCGTGTGCGGCTCTAGCGATGCTGACGATGTTGGTCACGCTTGGTGTCAGTTTGGCGAAGAATGGGATCCTCACGGCAGCCCTCACCCACAGGCAGATCTGACGAACGACTTCCGGTTCCTGTGTTTGCATTTGTTTAATGTTCTTTAATTGTTTATTAGGATTAGGAGAACATGTCAACAAACCATCTCACACACAACCACACCACAACACAACACACCAGACCACAACAAACCCCAACGCACCCCTCACCTGACCACACGCCAGCCCCATCTTCCTCTCCCCCATGCCATGTGGGCATGAGAGGTTCAACTCCAACGCATGCGCACCTGCTTCCTGGCGAGGTACGAAGCAGAATTTGAATCAACTCATAAAAACTGGGCTTTATTTGTATTACAGTAAAAAAGTTATTTTCATGTTTCAAGAGGCAAATTAATTGTTTATCTACTTTCAACTTAGACTCATTTCAAGATATGGTTATAAGAAGCGCTCACTTAATAGTGCGTAGTACGAAATCAAACTTGTATTATTTTATTTTAAAAGATGTATAATTCAATTTAAAAATGAATTTAAATGTGTTTAAATAATGTGTTTAGATAAACAAATACGTATGTATTTATTGATAATAAAAAATGAACAAAGGTTAATGGGTGACCAAACAAAATAAGAAAAGAACAAATGAACAAGCAACCAAATAAACAAACGAATAAACAACCAAACAAACAAACAGACAAAGGATACCTCAGCCTTCTTGGCCAACTCGCTCCAATCCTCCTCAATGAATGCACACATGATGCTGGCTATCAAGATCTGTTGTCGTTGTCGTTAGCATTAATTGGGTTTTTAATTGCGTTGTTGCTTTTGTGATCATTGACACAATTTTCACATCATCGTCTTCATCCCTTTCATCATCATTATCATCGTCACCATCACCATCATCCACATCACCATCACCTTGTTTGGGAAGTCCCTGGTTAACTCGCGGATGCACCTGAGCCAGTAGGCACATGTTTTCTCACTGATGAGTTCGATGTTGAGGAACGACCCCTGACCTGGTCCGAACTGGTGACCTGATGTTGAGCCGCGAACTATCCGCGGCGATACGTTCGTCACGTTGTTCTGAGTCGGCAGGTTGGCAGATGTCGTGTAATTATTTTAATTAATTTCAAATTCATGAATGTTGGTGAATTACTCGATTAGGATAATAATATATAAAATGTCTTTCATAATGAACTGTCGCGTAAGTTGCGAGAATGTTAAAAATAGAAGGGATAGTTTATATTACGGGTTTGGAAACCAGTCAAAAAATAAACGAACGAAATTGCGAACGAACAACCTGCGAGAAAAAAACAGTAGAACATCAGCAGCAACATAAAACACGACAAACATGTGCAAAAACAAAATAAAATATATCTGCGAAGGACCACCTTATCCAATGCAAATGTCTTGGTGACGGCAAACCCCCACCCTTGCTGGAAGGCCCTCCTGATCATGGGACCCGAGGTAGTGGGTGGGGCGCTTGCTAAACCAAATGGATTCTCGAAGTGAAGGCCACACATTTCAACGCTGACGTCAACTTGGTCAATCGGCGTGAAGAAGCGAGGAAGTTGGGGGGTGGTAGCTACTTGGTGGCCTTCCCGCTCCTGCGTGGTTGGTGTTTGTTCGGTGAGTACGAGATCAAACTTACTGTTCGAATGATTCGCTAGAAAAATATATTTGTCATTTATTAGATATCTGATGATAATAATGCAAAAGTTAATATAGGAAAAAATTAACAACCAATTTTAACTTATAGAAAATGTTTACACCCTTCAACAGGTAAACAGGATGTCATAAAATTTAATTAAAAGCACACAATCTAGCGTCGGTCGAAACAAGCGATGGAAGACGGCAAACCTGGAGGTACTTGTGCATAGACCAGGCGGCAGTCTTCCCGTCATTGACAGACTCCACGGTCGTCTGAGCACTGCCAGCAACGTCCCCTCCGATGAACACATCCTCCTCGCTTGTTGACATCCTCTCAAGATCAACCACAGGATCACCTGACCTCCCATCGAATTTCAAGGGCTCCAGAGCCTTCAGAACTGTCAAGATCAATTATTTAATTAATAATTAATATAATATAATTGATAAAATATTTTTAGCATTTTCTATTTTTTAGGTTTAGTCTTTGTGAATGAACAAAAAAAAAAAAACAAAAGCAAATAAACAAGCAAAAAACAGTAAGGCAGATGGAAACAACTGAACTGACCATCCTTATCAGTCAACCTGGAACCGAATGCAGAGATGATGAAATCACACTTCAATCGAACCAACTGCTCCTCATCTTCCAGCCAGCTACCATCCGCAAGCTGTTCCGTACGACAAAACTCCATGGCTCGGATCCTACCTGCTACTCTTCTACCTGTTTGGGGTTTCATTGTGTGAAGTTTTCATGAAGGTTGAGTGCTTATTAAGTTGTTTAATCAGCTTCACTAATTTTATTTATTTATTTTGTTATTTTTTTGTAATTTTTTGAAAAAAATCAACATAAGTATTAGAACGTGGTGGCGTCTGAATCAAGGCATCGCATATTTTTGCATATGATAAGCGGAGATTTTTGTTTTCAAACTCAGTCACTTCGGCCTCGTATCATCTGTCTTTAAAATTTTTGTATCTGATGGTTTTTGAATTTGAAACAAAAGAGTGGAAGAGAGGACGTCTCTCATTCGTGCAATAATTCCAATGTTTAGACTTTTCTTTCCTCCCCAACCAACCAACCGTTGTCGGCCGCATGATCTTCACTGGGCGATCCGAGGAGAACTCGCTTGGGACTCATGAAAGGAATGAATTCACACTTCTCATTCTTCGCCAGGTCCATCTTGGAGTAAAAATTTATAACTTTGTTAATAAAATAATAAAAATGTTACAATATTATTGCTGTTAGTGGTGGTAGATTTGATATTTTTTTTTAAATTAACTCTGAATTTTTTTTCTAGAAACCTCAAAAGCCCAGTCAGCTCAAACACGTTGCTTGTAATAGGGTGGGATATTTGTGTACTTAAACCAATCCATTGGGACGCAGGACCTTCTAACCATACAACATTACGACGTGAAATTTCAATCGTTACATTTTTTAATTAAAAAGATTAAAAAGGTTTGACAAAAATAAGTTGTTTGGCTTTTATTTTTAAATCATAATTTTATTTTTAATTTAATCATAATTTTTTTTTTCAAATTTTATTGTTGCCCGGGTCATTCGCTCTTAAATTGATAAATAAAAAAAACTTCGACTGGAATCGTCAACAATAAAATAAACACCAAGTGAATATAATTATTGAGTGTAAATTATGAGCAGTTCCTTCATCATCTCAGGAACGCTTCGGTGAGTTTGATTCCAACGAACAGAGCGCGCAATAACGACAACACCAAACATTGCAACCCTGGCACTTACGCTAACAAACTAGCTAACTCTCAACATCAATCTAAGCATCAAATTTGAGCACAACCTCATCTGGGTCAGCGCGAATGTTGGTGAACCCCTTCCTGAAAACGATGAAAACTTTTCTGGCTCCACACCTGAGGGCAGAGGTGGCACAGTCGAACGCCGTGTCTCCCACCCCCAACACGATGACAACTCCGTGCAACTTGGGCAGGCTAGGTGAGGTTTGTTTGCAGGAACACATGCCTGTGAATGTTTTATGTTGTTGTTAGTTTTGTATGATGTTGTTGTTAGTATTGTATGCTGTAGTCGCTAGCATTGTATCTTGTTTTTGTTGTTAGTATTGTAATTGTATGTTGATGGCAGTGGCGTTATATTTTTGTTTTTCATGTTATTTTTGAATGTATTTGTGGAGATCATCAGTGTTACCTGCTTTACTGTTTTGGCAGACAAGAGGTAGAAAGTCCTTTGACGTGTAGAAGCCATGATCGCTAGTTAAATTATCAAACATGCTGTTCCTATTTGGGTCAGGGTGACCTATTTTTGAATTTGTGTTTTGGAATTGTAACAATGACAAAAACATCAATGGTGATCTTTGCAATGGAGCCCCGAGCAAACAAGATCTATTCAGGCCTCAACCATTGACCCCTCCAACGTCCACCCACATCTGCCCGCATCCATCTGCAACCCACCCACATACACAACGTTCGAATTTGCATCCAGCAATCCAACCAACTACAATTTGCCGTCCCAGCTCAGCCATCATTAATAAATTTTTAACAATTCGTCAAATTATAATAACTAACAAAACAATGAAAAAATGTGCATTTTTAGTAAATTCTAACTATTTCTATGATTTAACATTTATTTCACAGATGAAAACTGGATCGTTTTTTGTAGCATAGAATTCTAAAAAAACTTGATAAAGCTAAAACTTCATCATTTTGTTATAACTTTGAAATTTTAATTGTGCAGTTTAAAAAAATGAGACGTGAAACCGATCCGCAAATAAACCGCACGAACAAAAACTGCTGAACAAGCAAATTTAAAAAAATTGCATCTGCAACCGTGGATGCGTTGCGGTGTCAGGCCACAGAGTGCAATAAATGGGCACTAAAGCAGATTAAGTACCTAGTAACAAAATATTTAAAAAATGAACTGAAGCATGTTTAAATGATAAATAAAAAAAGTTTCATGGACATTTGCTAACCTATTCCAATAAATATGGCCTTGAACCCCTCCCTGCGCAGTGAAGTCAAGGTCATTCCTGATTTGTAACTCAACTTCTTGCCACATTCAATCTGTTGGTTCGTTTTACAATTTTCAAAGTTTTTACCAATTTTTGATTGTTTTCTTTTTTTTTAATTTTAGTCAATATTTTTCCCGTTCGCTAGTTAATATGTTTGAATCATTGTAATATTTTGCGTGAATCTTCGTGTTTAGCAGACGAAAGTGCTATTCGCATTTTCGAAAGTCAACATCAATAACTGCAACAAATTATTAATCACAAATCAACTCATTTCATTGTAAAAGTTCTAGCTATGAAATGGTCTCTTACAAAACTGGCGGCAAACCTTGACGCCGAGATCTTTCATGAGTTCAATTTCGAAGTTGACCACTTCATAGGGCAGTCGGAACTGTGGTATCTCGGAGGAACTGTTGAAATTCATTTTTCGGTGATAACAAAATATTTTAAACAGTTGAATGTTTTTGGAACAAATTATTCAAACACATCACAACTTATAATGGAAACATGCGTCGAATGATCAACTCAACAATTTGAACTCCAGTTTTTGTGGTGTAGTAGCCTAGTTCAAGAATAAATGGACAAACTGACCATCATATTGTTGGACTAAAAACCATTTTTTGAGCGTTTTTATAGATTCACTTTGCCTTTTTTAAAATGCCAAAAATTGTTCAAAATTTCTACTATGATGTATGAATTAAGTAAATGAATGTTCAACAGAAAATTAAAAATATATTTTTATATTTACAAATTTCAGAGTGATTGATTATTATTCACTAATAAAAACTTTTTGTACAGAAATTATATAAGAATCAATAAAAAACACAATGAAACACCATATAAACAGCTAGAATAATATCACCTTGAAAAGTTTCTCACCTCAGTCCACCGAGATAATCATTTTTCTCAAAGATCGTCATATCCCCGTAACCAAGCCGACCGAGAAAAGTGGCACAACTGATGCTAGCTGGCCCACAACCAATCAAAGCAATTTTAGATTTGTAGGCGGAGTTTAAGGAGTCCTGTAATTGGCTAGGATCCCTGATTTGTGGAATGTTCATTTTCTTAAACACCTATACGTTGGTTTACATTGGTTAAAACTATGGCGGCCGTAAGCTGATTAGTTATTGGGTAAAAACGTGAGCATTGTATTGAAATCTTTGAATTTAAGGCAAATAATTCAAATTTAATTTTTTAAATATTGAAAAATTAATTTTATAATAAAATAGAATGGTAGCGTAAAAGGAAGGAACCTCGACGGCGAAATGCTGGAGACCGGCGATGTTGATGGGGCCTTCCTCGGTGGCCTGCAAGTTGCAGCCGCCCACGCAGAGGTCACTCGTAGGACACACCATCCCACACGTCAGTCCCAGAGGATTGTCCGAAAGGATGGCCTTTGCTGCTCCGTAATAATTCTGAGTAGGTGGGTGGTTGGATAAAATGGGAGACAAAAGACAATTATTTTTAAGGATGTGTATCTAAAAACGGCTCGAGTTAAATGCACTTAAAATTTAAAAACACGTTTCAATGTGAATATCGCACGAAGTTTAGCAGCAACATTGATGAGCTGTCTTAATGATGAGTAGACATAATTTCATTCAAAAATTTAATTGGAGTCAATCATAGACGGATGTTGACGTTTGACCCACATCTTGTAACCGGAAGCAGAAAAAGCTTCGAGATCAAGTAATCAACAAAATCCCTGGTAACAACAAACACAACAACCGAACCTTGGTCGATATGCTGCTTATGAATGATTTAATATCCAGTTGTGTTGGACAACTTTTTTGGCACGGAGCATCAGCACATTTCAAACACCTGGCGTGTAAATTTAGTTCTGACAACTGAATAAAGTAAAAACAAGCAGATGATACGCAATCGTCGGTTGTCGAACCTGGCGGCTTCTCTTAGGGCCCCACGTTCGCTGAGGGTTGTGTGTTTGACGTCATCAAAGTTGTTCGTTAGGTGAGTTAGTGTGCACGTCTGATGAATCATTATTTAATCACGTTTAATCGGTTACTTACGTTAATGAAATGTATAAACATCAGTAGAAGAAGCGTAAAAGTGGCCAGTTACATTTGTACTACAATTTACATCATTCAATGGCACGACATGCAACAAAACTGCACCACGCGCACACAGCAGGCATATTTTGCAAGGATAACCATCCCTCCCATCCCAACACGCCCAACACAGCACAGGGCAGGGATGACGTGACACACAACCTACCCCACTGCATCCTCTCTCGTCATTCCTCTTCCACAACTTCTTCTCAGACTTGGTCGTCTCGGTTGGAAGGACAGTTGCATGTCGGAGCACCCTGGCATTTAGGGACATCAAGTTCTGCGTGGTTGTTAAGATGACATTTCATTTTTCGATTCATCAGATTGATTTTTAATGATTATAAATAATGAATTACTACGACAAATTTAATGCACGTTAATGTATCCAGTGAGCGTTAACGTTTCTTAACTAGTCGTAATAAAATCACTTTTGCATGTTAAAATCTGGTGTGGCTTGCTTTATTTCTAGTCTCTTCAATTCAAATGATTATGTGAAGTAACACTGATGTCGGTCGGAGCACGAGTATTATTTGTTAGCGCTATGATAAAAAGTTGTCGGTCGGCTGGCCGGGCGAGAACACTCCACAAAGTCTGCAGCACTTCGGCAACTGCAACAAATCTAACGGCGTGTAATGATTTATGATAATCATTCGAAGCTTAACTCGTGAGGAGTGTTCTACAAATTTAGCAGTTTAGCATTGGAAATCATTTGTTTGACCGTACTGAAACATTATGCAAATTTAGTAAAAGTACAGCGTTTCATTGTTACAATAAATACGCTATAAAAATATCATCGTCATTATTTAAGCACTGATTCATCAGTTATTGTTATGAACTAGGCTTTTATTAATGTTGCAACATTTATTGTAACGCAACAATTTGTCGCTTTAATGAAACATTCGCCTGCATCTTCACAGAGACTTCTCATCGATGGACGCTACAAACTGCTCATAATCATGATTATTTATCACAATTTTCAAGAGGATGTCAAACCTGTAAAATACCTCAAAAAATTTTTGAACAGACAACAACGAAGTCATCATCAACGCACACAGGCCTCTTAATAATAACAACAACAAGCTGCTAAATTTCAATACACCAACCAAAGTAACAACTTTCCAACAACTCACACCTCGATATCTGGAGTATCAAACGAGGCAGCATCATTCTGATGATTGTGAGTAGGAAGAGAAGGGGGGAAGGTGGGGGATTGAAAGTTAGAAAGATGGAGATGAGGGTGCTGGAGACTCATGTTGGAAGGGAACTTGTGAGGTGTGTTGCAGCTCTTGATAACAACGTTAACGATCTTTATGGCTTGTTGTCGTTAGAGCAGTTGTGGCTGTTTCGATACTAACTGTTGAAAAAATGGCAAGCTCTTCTGGGGGAATGTTAAAAATATGATGACAGGCTAACAACTTAACAAATGACTTCGAATACAATCCGTAGTAACGAAACCTTTGGAGTTATTGACATCAATTTGTTGATGTGGATAACATCAACTTCTGAAACTGAAAATTAGAAACCTTCAATCTATAATTATAATAGATAAATAGCAAATGTGTGAGCAAAAATAAGGTTAATTATAAAATTCTACGTGTGTATGAGATGGAAAACTTCATCAGCAGATGCAAAGATAATTATACATAATGTAACTTAACATAGCTTAATGTAGAGATGCAACTAAACTCGAAATATGAAGATGTTTCACTATACTTATTCCAAACTTTGTAAGAAACAAATTGTTTGTTACAAAGGTAAAACATCATAAATAAACCATTAAACCATATTTGCATACATATGCTTATGCGCTATATCATTATGACTGAATATGAATATACAGATGTATCTATAAAAAATGAAGGTTATACAGTGTGTGTGCGTGTGTGTGTGGTGTGCGTGTGTGTGTGTGTTTGGTGTGCGTGTGTGTGTGTATGTGAACGTCTGTTAGAATGGATTCTACCTATTTATATACATCACGGCACATGTACATGTATTTATTATAAAAGGGCCATTTATAAAATGCGTAGCATACGCTAAGTTGCATACATGTTCAAGGTTTAGTTTAGTGTAGTATAATACTGTTGAGGTTGTTGTGATTTTATACAAATGTACATTTTCAATTGCGTATGTAATGTTATATTTGCTGACGATAAACTCTTGTAAGTAAATTAGATAGGTAGGTAAATAAATAATTGTTAATCGATAGCTACTCTAAACAAAATCTATTAATTAAAATCACACTGATCAGAAGAATGAATAACTTAATTTATAAAATTTAAATAGCAGTCAACACAACCCACTTGAAATGTAGCTTAACGTAAACAAGTCCATCGAACACAACACCAGAATAGATCGCACGTATCAAACTTTAAATGACTCAACGGTATAATACAAATAACCACTACCACTTAACAATCAAACCACGAAGATAACAGCAGACGACTAACAACAATCTCTACTTATGAGAAAGTAGCTTTAGCACTTGTTAGTTAGTATGTACGCTGTTCACGTTTAAATTATTATATGAAACAAGTGAACAAATGAGGCGAACCAAACGCAAGGATAAAAATTTATTATTTTTCGCAAACGAGCAATTCATGTTTTTATTTGCAAGTTGAAGATGTAATTATTTCTTGAACTTCTTGGTCCGAATTTATGAAGCTCCGTATGGCATAGAACAGTTTTTTTTTAAATATATAAATATACAATTCTTGTGTGCGTGCGTGTGTGTGTGTGTGTGTATGTGTGTGTGTATGTGTGTGTGTGTGTTTATAACATGACATAATATAATATAACAATAAACATTATATTACTATTTTATAAACATTATTTTATTTTTTTTTATTTTTAAGTGGCCAGGTTCGATAAATTTCATAAACTTTTATATTTTCATTTTATGGTTTTTGTTGCAAAGTAAAACTCGTTCCGTTTAGTTTTGTACCTGTGTGTGTATGTGTATATGCATTTGTGCAAGCTAATGTACACTAGACTAGAAGGAATATTAAAAAAAGAAAGACAGATAGAGAGAAGAAGAGGGAAAGTGAAAATATAAGGAAAACTCCATAATTGTTTATACATTTCGGCAGCGTTAGTTGCAAGTAGCCAAAAATAAGTTCTGCATCCAGTTTTCCTCTCTTTTGTGCGGTTTTATTCTGGATTCATGAAGAAATCTTATTTGACCGATAGTGCTTTGAAAAACTAAACTTTTCTCATTGGTCGATCCAGAAAGATAGCAAAAACAGGATTTCAAAGTCTGATATCAGTTTTGAAAAAAGTAGGATATAGTGACATCATGTTATGATTTGGAAAAGATAGATGAGGAGTATTTTATTGTGGTTTTTTTATTCAAATGTATACTCATGATTTTCGGTTGACAGCCTCTGCAGAGACTTCTGCTAGATGAGCCAAGCAGGTGAAACGAGGTTGTACATTTCGCATCAGGCTGAACATACATTACCCGTGTGGTGGTTTCTTCTTGTCTTGAATATATGAAAGTTGCTGTTTAAATAATTACAAGACAGACATGCGGACATAAAGAAGATTAGATTATTAGATTGAACTATAATTCTCGCATGGAGACACAATAAGCACGTGGATTTTTGCATTCAAATCTAGTCACCATCTTACAACTATCAATTTTAAAAAAGTACAAGTCTTAATATATTTGCGATATATAGTTTTTATAGTCCTACACTGGTTAGAACATGCACATGCTAACGAGGTTACAAAGATTGTTGCCCCGCTAAACTATTGAACGTTCAACGTGCCATGATGTTGTTTTGATCGTCAGCAGAGGATGAAGTACGGTTTCATAAAGTACCAACAAGTTGTGTATGTGTGTGTGTGTGTAATAAATTATTATTATTATTAATGTTATTAATATAATAGGTCTTTCTTATCCTTTTGTTGTCCATATTGTTTTAAACTTTGGCATATATATATAATCTTATTAAAACTACTGACTGAACATGAGAATAATATATGTGTAATAAAAAGGTTACATAACTGAGCTGACTTGCATTTTTGGATTTCAGCCATTTTAACTTTACAAAATTCATTGTTGCCATAAGACACAATATACATTGACAAGACACGCAGACAGATTTCTCACAAGTGGATTACGTTTCGATTTTAAGTTGCAGAAAGAATGAAACACGCTACATCAGAATCAGACAGCTAGCTGTAAGACTGGACGAGTTAAACAGAACTACACTTTATAATGGCCAAATGATGGCAGTGAGAAGTGAACTGGACTCTAAAAAGCTGAGGACAGTTAGTTGCACACTGGATGTTGCTGTCCTCAAGCTTTAGCTTTCAAGCAACTAAACTTAAAATTTGGCGTTTTTAAATACGTAACTCGCGTTTCACTGGAAAATTAGTCAGATTAGTGAAGTACGGATAAAAGTTAATAGTTAAAAATGTTTTAATGAAAAAAATACATTGCGGAAGAATTTTATTCATAGAATTTTCATCTAATCATAAAAATATTAGAGTTTCATGAAAATAAAAAAAAAAAAGAACAAATATTGACTCGAAACGAAACGAGGATCATTATCACCATCGCCGTCAACTTTCCAAAATAGCACTCTGAAACGTGATGAACTAATTGAAACCTTATTAATAACATTAATTATATAATTATTAATATTATTCAAAATTGACCTCAACGTTCAATAATGATAATAATTTAATAATAATTTATTAATAACTATTAATAATAATATTAATATTTTTATTAAAAAAATGAATTTACATGAATAAATAAATAAATAAATAAATTTATTTTTTGTTTATAGTTTTTCCGTTATAATTAGCAGAATTATTATTTACAAGCAGTGGAAATATAGGACATCGAATTCTGAAAAATAATTAAATAAAATAAATGAATAATTAACATAATTAATTAGTTATATAAAAGAATGAATGATTGAATAATAGGACGAAATAATACAATAGAATGGAAATACGGTACAAAAATGTGATTTCGCGAATGCTGAATGCTTGGGAGACTCCAGTTAACTTTATTAAATATTATGGCCACTAAAAATGGTTATAATAATTATTATTATTTATAATTATTTTTATTATTTTTATTATTACTATTATTACTATAATACCAGTACGTAGCAATACATTGACGGAGTAACGTTTATATGTAAAACATTATAAGTGTTAAAAATAATAATAATAACAAAAACAATAATAATAATAATAATAACAAACGAAAAAACCAATAATTTCAACGCTGTTGAATATAGTAAGGTAGACTTAGCAAAACATTCG